ACAGCTAGACATAGAAGCCGATTCTTCCCTTCTAAAAAAACCTCTAGTATTAATTATTAGCAACTGTTTTTCTGTCTGATCTCGTGTTCATGTGAATATTGTGAGTGTTGATTTCTGAAGTCCTGGTCAGATACAACAGTAAAACTGCAGACCATGAAACAGGTGGTTTTAATATTAGTCTCTCCCTGCAGACATCTGAGCTCCTTGTGCAGTGTCTGGTCTGACTCAGAATTCAGCACTGCATTGGTTCTTGGAGTTGTGCTCTGCTTGGAGTTTGTCTTTTGGGGAGTGAGTGCTGGAGGAGGGAGAGTGCACACTGTCTTAGCCATGTACTTGTCTCTGTGAATGTGCATGTGTTTGCCTCTCACTGGCTTGCCTCTGTGGTTTGATTATCTGGGTTTTTGTTCTTAAAGTGAGTGAGTAGAAGGTACTCTGCTAGGAATTACGTTTTGCATGTCCCCTCAGGACCAAAAATCCTTGGCCACAATTAAAGTGGAGTCTAAGCATATGCAGCATGACATTCTTTCATCTACCCCATCCCAACTCCTTCCTTTTCTTTCCTTTCTGTTCCTTGCTTCTAAAAAGTCTACTCATTCCCTCAGGATTTCAGCCTTAGTAACTAGGGCTTGGTGCATTTCATAGCAATTATTTCTTTGAATTTTCTAGTAGTATGGACTAACTTATGTGTTTTCTTAATCCTTCTCCAACTTTGAACTAGTGTGGAAAAATACTGGCTTATTGTTACATAATAATGAATGCATCAAAGAAAAATTTTTACAGATGATCATGTAAATGTCCTAGTAACGTCAGTCCAGCTATACTCTCCAGAGGCCTTGGGTTCCCATTGTCTTGTGCAGAGACTACTAACTGAAATTGAGTTTCTTTTTGAAATGTCATGGAAGAGGCGTGTTTCTGGCTTTAGCAGCTTGGGTGTCTGCTCTTGAAGCTTCAGCTGGCACATCTTTCTTGCAGTAGCTGCAGTCATGAAGTCATTGTGCTCCTGCCAGTCTGTTGGTCTCCTGTCTGAAAAACCACATTCTTTTTCTCAGACCCCAGTCACCTGGTCTTACAAACAGGATGGAGGGAATGCATTTGGGGATTCAGTTCTCTGTGGTGAGAACAGCAGGAAAGCGTGTACCCCAGAGGTATCCTAACAAGGAAAGGGAGTGGAAAACAATTCTGGCTGCTACAGTGGTGGCAGTGGAATGGCAGAGATACCAAATAGTTGGATATTTTGTGGATTATGATCTATTTCTGGTAATTATTGGCAGAGCCGACTATCGAAATAAAATTTTGGATTTATATAAAAAGTTTGGAACTTGTAGCGCATTGCTTGCAACATCAAACTTGTGTAGATGACTATATCAGTTAATGCTTTTTGGCGCTTAGTGATGGCTGTCTCAGTTGCAAGATTAAACCTGTAAGCACTTCTTCAGAACAGCTCAGATCCTGAGCTGAGTTTTGTTCTGTGACTATACATAAATTGCAATACAGATGCTTTATGCTTTCATATTTATTTTCTCTTAATTTACTCCAGAATACTTTAGCTGAGTGCAAATGATTGGTGCAAATGTCGTTAGGCTAGGAAACGGTAATGAAGTGAAGGACTTCATGGTGCTTCTAAGTAGGTAGGAACTGTCTCAGTTGGAGGTAGCCATAGTGACTCTCTCCACCATTGGAGATATTCAGAAGCCATCTGGACATGGTCCTGGGCAGTTGGGTCTAGGTGTCCCTGCCTGAGCAGTGTGGTTGGCCCACATGACCTCTGGAGGTCCCTTCCAGCCTCAGCCATGCTGTGATTCTGTGAACTACTTCAAGATACTTTGCCAGTTTTTTTCTTTAAATTCTCCAAATTTTGACCACTTGAATTTATGCAAGTCCACGTGCTGAACTGCAGCTTATGCTTTTGTCTGTGGCCTAAATTTGTCTTCCCATTGGAGTTTTCATGAAGCTGTGGTGTGTGATGGAGTGTGAAGGTTTCAGGTGGGCATTTTCACACGCTGCCCACCTCTCCTGCCTTCTCCCCTTCCTACCCCCCAACCAAAAAACCAAACCCAATCCACCAAGACAATTATTTCCCTTTTTACTTTGGTAATCTTTCAAAAAAATGAATCAGAAGAGAGCTCTGGAGGACATCTGACTTAAGCTGCTGCTCAGAGCAGAGCATTTTCAAAGTCAGATCAGGTTGCTCAGGGAATTGTCCAGGTAAATTTTGAATTTGCAAGGGTGGAGATTCCACTGCCTTTCTGGGGCAGAGTTGCAGTGTTCCTTATGCTCCTCATGAACATGCTGTTCCTTTGTGCTCAGCTGGAATTTCCCTTGATGTGACTTGTGACTGTTGCTTCCTGAGCGTCCACTGCATGTCTCTGAGAAGGGCCGGTCCTCAGCTGCTCTGTGTTCCTTCAGACAGTGGGAGACTGTTGGGGTCCACTCTGTCCCTTCACTTTCTCTTCTTCTGGCTAAATAAGCCCAGTTCCCTTAGCTTTTCCATAAAGGTCACGTGCCTTTAGCCCCAGCAGTCCTCCTCCACTCTGTCCCTGTATTAGGGGACCCAAACCAGACACAGTACTCCAGGTGTGGCCTCGACAATGCCATGTAAGGGGAATAATCACTTGTCTTGACCTCCTGGTTACACTCTTGATAGTGCAATCAAATTGCCATTAGTCCACGTCACTGCAAGGGCGCTCTAAATTTTGCTGTCTCGAGAGCAAGACAGTGTAGACTCGGGTCAGTGGTCTTGCCAGGTAGTATGTCCTTGTTCGGTGGGCAATAATACACCAGATTTCCTAGACAATTGGCCATTGAGTCTTACGGGATGGACAGGGTGTTCCTCTGCAAATCAGTTTTGAAACCAATGTGGAGAGTCTCACAGACACTTCGTTCACTGCACATACATAATGTGTTTTTTCTGTGTTGTGTGCCTGGTGCAGGATAGCTGAAATCTGTCATTTTGGGGCCTGTCATTGTTGGTAGATTTGTTTAATTTATGACATAAGGTGGTAGGTGACTCTCATATTGAGGAGTTGTTAGAGCTTGTTTGGTTTAAGAAAAAGAAAAAGGTCATTATGGTCATAAACTCAAGGTACTGAGCTTTCTAGCTGTTTTAGAAGTCTCCATTTTTCCCCACGTCCTAGGCAAACCACGTGCTGCTTCACCCACATGATTTGATAATAAATACTAACAATTGGCAACATCTTTATAACTTTAAACAAGACTTTTTTTTTTTTTTTTCCAGTGTAGCATTTCTTGTATAACAAAAAATATTAGAGGTGCTGGCTTTCTGATTGCTGGGAGGTTGCCTATATGAGCCCGGATTTGTGTAGTTTTGGCACAGTGGCTCACGCTGCTGTGGGCTAACATTTATGAGCAGTCAAATGAAAGGGAAGCACATATTCCTGGCACCGTCAGGTCAGTTTGGCAGAGGTAAGCTGCCTAAATGCTTGAACATGTTTGCTTGTAGAAAGAACTTTCTGGCTTGGAAAGGATGGGTCTATGAGTGATGCATAACTAGTGTGCACAAGATTTTAAAGGAACTTTTGTTTGATCAGTGCTACTTATCTGTCAGAAAATGAGCTGAATTGCATTCAGGAGTGCTTACCCACATGCTACATCCTTAAAAATAAGAGGGGAAAAAAAGAGTGGATGCATTGTGATAGTAAGAGACCAGAGAAGGGATTTTAGTGGTTGGTTATTGCATTTTTGTGGCTGGAAACATCCAAAGGCTACACAAATGTAGTTAGTACTGCAAAGAGAATATATGCAAATTTATGGCAGCATTCTCCATGTTAGTGTATATTTTTTATTTATGTCTCAGTCCTGTGTTATTCCAGGACTTGTCTCCTCACTGCTTGCTGTTACTTTGCCTGATGAGTTTATGTATCTCTGGAGAATGAAAGACAGAAACGAGTTATACTTGACCCAAACAAAACAGAATTTCTCTCCTATCAAAGGTCAGAAAAGGGACAAACTTGCTCCTTTTCTTTCTTTTTCTCCCTTCCATCTACCCTAATAATAATAATACTAAAATGAAAAACCCAACTTCTTGACTGTATTAATTAAGTAGAAGCCTTAAGTCAGTTGAGGGCTGGAGATTTACACTGTCAACACCAGTATAACTGGAATTGGAATCTGCCCTTGGTTCCACTATGTGTCATCTCATCTCTAATTTGGGAGAGAAATAAATGACAGGGAGTACAGTTTATTGGAAAAGAGGCATTTGGAGACAAGGCAACAGTTTGTGGCCTCTGGTAACTGAGAGGTATAAGCTATTTACCATGTCAAATGTCACCTGTCATTCCAGTGCATGTTTGTAATATATTAAGCCACTTCAAATTACATAGTGCTTAAGCTTCTGTACAGTAAAGAGATTGCTTATCGTTCATGTGCTGTTGAAAAAGGGCAGCCTTCCGTCTTTTCAGAATGGCTGTAAGCAGGGGAAAAAATGAACAGTATGATAAACGTGCTTTTTTAAACCACTTGAGACTTGCTGACAGTGAATGTTTAGCTTTGTTTTTGTTCAGTGTTCAAGATTATCCTTAGTGACTGACTTTTGATGGTCCTCAGTAGCTCTCTTCTTAGGTATGTGTTTGATGGAATTTTCCTCGTTAGGTCAGGAGATGAGAAAAAAGGATGAAAGACTTTAACATTAAAAAAAGACCAGAGTTGCAGGCTGCAAGATACGAGAGTTTGATCTGGACATGCTTGTATTAAAGCCATGCAAAATCCATAGCCTTATTTAGCAAAGAAAACATACACTTTGGGCAGTAGGCATTAAATACATGAAGCATGCTTTTGAATTTTGGTTCGTTTATATGCATGCAACATTTCTGTGCTGGTACCTCACCCCCATTTTAAGGGTAAGTTGATCAGCGAGGTGCAGAGAATGATAAACTTATCTCTTTTTTTTCTCACTTTAGTTTTGGAGAAACTAGATCAGCAATAAAATAACATGATTCAGGTGATACTTTGTGGTAAACTGCTTTTATTTTTATTCCTAACAGTACATCCTGTCGGGCTCTGATGACTTCAATCTGTATATGTGGAGGATTCCTCCAGATCCAGAAGCAGGTAAGTTTTGTTGGTGTGGAATTTGGAGGGAAGGGGGACAGTTGTCTGACAAATACTAGTTTGTTTGGTTTTTTTGAATAATTGCTGTTTTCACTCAGCCTCTGAATAATTCTGATGAAAGCTGGGTGGGAAGAGTTTATAAATGCTTAATCCGGTCTCTGGATAACAATGGACAATGCCATTTGAATCATTTATCGTATTGGTCTTCTTTTTATTTCTCTTCCTATATAGTGGTGATTAAAATCTACTAGATGAGATGATGAAGAAAGAGCTGTGGCTGGAGCAGAGTGTGTCTTTCCTCCCTCTTGTCTACCAGCTGACCTGCTTCTAAGCTGATCTGAGTTCTCTGGAGAACTTAGGATCTGTTACTAAGAAAATTCATTTCGTAATAAAGCTAGCAGCATAAAATGGTGCTGAGTTCACAGGCTGCTCGTTACAGCTCCTGTGCATTGGCCTCTTCCCCTCTTTCTTTCCTCTTGCACCAAAACCCTGCCACTGGTTTCTAATGCAGAGCAGTTATGCTCTTTTACTTTCTGGGTGGAGGAGCACTGTCAGCTGGTGGAAGTGACCACTTTTGACTCATTTCTGACCCTTCTCCTTGGCGGGGCAGACATGCTAAGCAAGCAGCACTAGCTCAGCTCTGTGTGAAAGGACAGGAGAGGGGTACTAAAGAAAAGCAGCAGTGTGTGGGATGTAACAGTAGTGTTGTAGACGCCACAGTTGGTCAGTGCCAAACTGGATATTCTGGTGTTACGTAGGGTTTGTCAATATGACACCATCTGCAGCCATCTCTGAGCCGTACAATGTCAGCATATCTCTTCTGTTGAAACAAATTGCTATGCTCTTCTAGAATGGTGTTGAATCTTGATGGGAAGACTCAAGACTTCAGGAAAATTTACTAGTTTCTGTTTTTAATGGCTCTGACAGTTTAAACTGTACATTTTAGTGGTATTAAGTACACTTGAGTGCTATCCTGTGGTCTCAGGTGCTTTAGCAATAGTGAGAGCAAATTACAAGCTGTGTTAGAGGTAAAATGAAAATATTTTGTTTCAAAGGCTGTTAATCACAGCTGTGTAATCCACAGCTGAGAGGATGACTAGCCTCTAAAAGGTCTGGTTAACAGCAGAGTTTTGAGGAAAATGCCATTAATTTTGGATTGTCTGCTTAACCAGGATTTGATGTTGCTGTCCAGAAGCCCTGAAGGTGGTCCTGCCAGATATACCGATAGCTTGGCCTTCTGTCTTTGTGTAGAGTTTGTAGAGACTTCTCCCTACTTTCCTTTCAATTTGTATGATTTGCTTTTACATTTGGTGCTGTTTTACTACTGCTTATGTGATTTCCTCTTAGTCAGAACAAAGGTTACATACATTTAAATCACTTATTTATCTGTAAGTTTTATGTGTGGACTGTAGCATTACATTTTATGCATGTTACTTTACTTGCCCTGTCTCCATTTGTAAATTCTGGATTTGGGATTTGTGTGTATCTGGCTGTGATGTTCTTGAAAACTTTTTTCCCAGGCAGGTGCAGATGACAAACTTTTTATCTGGGACCTCTGCACAAAAAGTGATAGCTAAAATTACCATGAAACAATGTCATATGTGTTTTGGTCAGCTTTCTTGTTTCTGGCTCTTGTAACTTGAGGAAGGGTATCAGTAAACTTGCAACATTGCAGTTACAAAATTAATTACTTAATGTGAGTTGCCCTCCATGGTTGCTCAATGGGATCAGAAGGTCGTGTGTAGGAACCTGTATGTGTTAGTCTCTTATGACTTGAGCAGCTCTCTTATTGAAACATTTTAACAAAACTCATGAGCTTTGTTTTGGTAGACCTAAAGTTTGGGCTTCTGTAGCAAGTAACTCATCAGCCATCCAAATCACCTGTGATGGGCTTATTGAAGCTCTTTTCTTCATTCAGCTCTTCTTGAAGGGTTGTGCCTGTTCTGACCGTGATGAAACATCCTTTCTTAAATCTCACCCTGTGGTTTAGAATACTTGTTCAGCTAGAGAGGTTGCTGTGCTTCCATTTTGGAGAAAGTGTCTTGCTGTAGGGATGTGGAGACCTTGGAAATCTTCTGTGTCAATGGAAAACTCCTTGTTCTCATGTTCTAGCTTAAAGTAGGAGTGTCTTTGGGTCTGTGATCTGAGGTGATGGAATGTGGTCTTTCATTTAAAATATTGTACAAGCTAGACAGGTCGTCCTGTACTGTTGGTTGGTATTTTAAATAAAAGTATGTCTCTAACTGATTCCTGCATTCCCGCTGAATTCAGACATTGTGTTGATATAAATATTTATGATACAACTCCCTTAAATTATATCAACTATTTGTAAATAGCAACTTTTCTGCAAGCGTACATCTTTATACAAAGCGGCATCCTTAACAACAGCTCTGAAATAAATTGTTTTGCTTAAGTTCAGGTGCAGCAAGTACTAGCTATCTAATGGTTAGCAGCATATCTACACAAAAGATGAAGAAAAGTGGAAATGGACACACCAGTCAGACAATTGCAAACATATTTCAGGTTGGAGCGATGTGGTTACCTGTGTTGGTATTTTGCCAGAAAAGTGGAACAAATTCTGCTGTTTTTTGCCAATAATCATAATTTAGAGGAGTCCTCCTAGTAGGTTGTATTGAGTCATTCCCCCTCAGCTGGAAACTCTGCCAGCAGTTTTGTTCTGTCCAGTTATTAGACAGGATTTACTTCGGGGCGGGGAGCTCTGTGAAAAAGGGTATTTCCTAAATTGCTTAGAAAGCTATTCTGTTGAAGAGTTTTATTGGCTGTCTCACTCCACTATTGTGGATTACGCTGAATAGGCCAGGATTTCCTGTGCAGAAGGTTGATTGCTTTTTTACCACCTTTTGTCCTTTCTTGAAGATGGAATGGTTTGCTCATTTTTCCACTTTCTTCTCCATCCAGCTACTACCCAGCTTTCCACTGTGCTTCAGAAGTAATCGCTGATTGTTTGGTGAATTTGTTAGGCAATTTCCTCTTCAAAGTATATATCCCAGTTTTCTTCAGAGGCGGAGTTTCTAGCAAAATTAATACATTAGTCTGGCAGAAGAAAAGCAGTCCCGAGTTTCCACAGCTTTTACTTGACTCCAAGGCAAGCTAGAAGAGACATCGGCCCTACGTGGCCTGCCGTGCAAGACTGTTAACTTATAAGCACTTCAGGCAGTATTTAAACCTAACTCCTATAAACATGGTCTTTTAGCTGGTAAAGAATCCCTGTTCAAGACAGAACCTGACATGTCTTGTGGGGTAATAGCGGGCTTGGTAGATCAAATGCTTTGCAAAATGGAATTTACATTCCTCACCCACTACTCTGAATCATCTTTGCAACTCAGAGCTTGTCTCTTGCTTTTGAAATATTGCTCAGAGATGCTATGTGAGGTATATGATATTTATTTACAATGGAGAAGACAGTTGGAGATCCTTCAGTTTACGTGACCAGGCTGTCACCAGACTTCTGAAAAACTTCACTAAATCAGAACAGCAAACTGCATTGCAAAACCTCTTTTTAGTTCTGTCCTTGACTGTAACTGCTAGCAAGAAAGAGCCTGTCATTGTGGTCCAGTTACTAAACTAATTGCACCAATTTTCAGCACAACTGATGCAATTTTTCTTCCCTTTTTTTCTCTCCTCGTTGGTCATTGTAAATGCAGGCACATTTTTAGGCTTGAAGAATTCGGCAACAGATCTTTTCACAACATTTGAATAGGGTTATCTCATTGGAGACAGCTTGTGGTTTAAGAACTTAAAGTTCCAGGCTGACAAGTGAAGATGAATAATATATGATTAAGTGTTTCTTAATGTCTTCAGCTACTTTTGAGATTTTTGTATATGTGCACACTTGCATATATACATACCAGTTGGGCTTGGAGGGGGGAAGCCATCTGGCCCAATGGGGAGTATGCTATGGAAGGTTTGCCTTTTTTAAAACATTGATTTTTCTGCGGTGTGGTCTTGGGATCTCAACTGTTCTACTCTTAGGACTGTAGCTCATCTCTTCCTTCAGGTCAGTGTTGACCGCAGTGTGCTAGGGAACAGTTGTTTGGTTATCACAGCAGGTAAGTGGTGGGGCAGTGTAGAAGAGGTTCTTGTAGTTGGTGGAATTTAGGCTGGTTTCCACGTCATGTGGATTGTCATACCAGAAACCTGTGGAAATGTCCTGGCTAGATGGCAGCTATCAGAAAACAAGACAGTGTTGGGTGCTTTGTAGTGGTGTAGCCAAGTGGAAGCTGATTCAGAATCCGTGAGTGTTTCTCTCATTGGCCTTAGCATGTTTAAAACCTAATTTAGCACTAGAAAGCTGAAGATAACACTGAGCAATGGGAGAGGCTGGAGAAGCCTTTAGTCCCCAGCAACTAGAGTTCTGATTGTACATTTCTATTTATTTTATTGAAAATGTTTGCGGATACCAGTACAAAAACAGGCAAGCAGTTTTCACACCTCCATTTTCAAAGCCAACAGCTATCGGTTGTGCAATAATTTCACTAATTTTATTCCCTTTGTGTTCAGAAAACATAGTTGTTGGCATAAATTTGCATGGTTCCAATAACATTGTAAAAATACACCAAAAGAGCAATCTCTCTTGGATCAGGAGAGGTGACAGAGTGGAAAGGGTGTGCCAAAGTTTATTTCTATAGTAATTTTGTCTTGGCTTTCATATTGTTATCAGCAATAGAACTGAACAACAATGGTGGGGTAAGGCATAGATAGATAATGGCATATATTTAGCAGCAACAAAAGAAGGGAGTAAATATACATCAAAAAATAGCAACTACCACTACTGCTTTCTTCATATTTTCAGATTCTCTACACCAATGCACACAACAAGGGCAACAAACAGGAGGAGTTGGAAACCACCGTGCTGCTAGAAAGCTGTGACCTAGCTGCCATTACTGAAACTTGGTGGGATGAATCCCACGACTGGAGTGTGGCTATTGATGGCTACAGGCTATTCAGAAGGGACAGGTGAGGAAGGAGGGGCAGAGGCA